GTCCCCCCATTATATCTTTATGGCCCCCACCAGCCAGGGTGGGGAGGGGGAGGACAATAGGTCCTACTCTTATTGTAATTTACGCTCTTTCATCAGTGAGCAGCCACAGGCTGCTCACTGTTTAGAGACATGCCCCTACCGCGTATGAGAAGTATTTGGGAGATTTAAATCTCTCTTGTGCTATTATGGGGGTCATATTGACCCCCATAGAGTGAGAGGGGGTACTGGGGGGCTTATGAAGTGGTGGGGAGCACTGCTCCCTGCCACTTCTATAGTTACATATTACAAGGAGGGAGCTGCACGCCGGTAGCTCCCTCCTTGTAATAAACTGCACGAACAAACATACACTGATACTCAGATACACTGATACATTGTGTTTGTTTGTTCGGCTGATCTTTCTATTCACTCATTCGTCTGTCTGATGAATGAATGAATAGATGAAATTCCCGTTCGCATGTCCAGGTGTTTCACTGGGCATGTGCGGGAATCTCAGTGTCTGCCTAGTGTGGGCTGATGACGTGTCCCACAGGGACTTCACCTACCCACACAAAGATGGTGGCGCCCTGAATCAAGATCGGGGCAGAAAATAAGGATTAAAAAATAGGTAATGTGGGGGGCTTAGGGGCATTTGGGGGTGACTAGTGGGTCAATTGGATGTAGTGGAGGCGGGAGGGGGGTTAAAAAAAAAAACGGGTTTCGGCATGACAGTGCCGCTTTAAAGAAATTGATGATTTAAAATGTGAACTAACAAAAAGAAATGGTTTTGCTGCTACTAAATATGGGCTGAAAACCAATTGTGGAGGTTTGTGTACTACAAAGATGGAGGTGTTTCATAATAATTATAGTAACTGTGAGCGCAGTATTCATGTTAAAATGGCACCAGTCTCTACAGAGCTCATGGTGGATGCACTGGGAAATGTACTACATGAAACTACGGTGACCCATTCCTTAAAACATACAGAGGTTATTGCACTGAGCAAACAACTGGGATGTATACGCTTGGATGATGATCCAGTAGATGTTATGTTAAAAATTGATCAATTTGAAAAAATCCACAGAAACTTAAATGAATTGGATATTTTTGATGTTATAATTGCTAGTACAGACCAGTCACTAAGAGCAAGTCTGCCACATGAGATATTTATAGAACCTAGAACCAAGCAACAACTTATCAAAGAGTTATTAAACGCACTTGGTCTAGAGGAAGTAAATCATCATTTTGCTTTTGGTAATTGTGCTCAGAAGAGAGGGGAGTCTGTTCAAGGGTTTGTCAATAGATTATTCGTTTTATTCAAACTGACTGTTCCACCTGGAGCACATGCTGATCAGAATGAATATGCATATAAGAAAGCATTACTTAATAGGACACTGCCAGATATTCGAGAGTTAATTGGTTTAACTGTGTCCCCACAGGACACCTTTGTAAATATACTGAATTGCTTAAGAAGGGCTGAAGCAATTTTACTAAATCAAGAAAAAGTAAATAAAAGACAAGTGTCATTGATACAAAGTCCCCAACCTCACAGATATATCAATCAGAGAAAGTCCCCACATATAAAATCCATTACATGTTTTAGGTGTGGTAGGATGGGACATATTGAAAAATTCTGTAAATCAGATGTGCATATTCATCATGAAAGGCCCATGTGTGATAGATGGACTCAGGGAAATAAAAATAATCACCCTAGGTGGAGATCACAGAGAAAAGATAATAATGGTATCCCCCTCACGGGACCCTGGATTCCCTACCATGTGCTTAAAGCACAGAATAGAAAACTAAAGGCAGAAAATCTTTCTCTAACATGTGAACGAAATGAGTTCCTTGAAAAACTGGATTGTCTCAAGGCACAATTAAGTACATTAGAGGATATGGTTAACACAAAGAATCTGATAACAGATACAGTTTTTCTTGAATGACCTATTCTAGTTGTGTGATATTAACTTTCTCTTGAAGTTTGTTTTTTTCGAAAACTACGGAGATGATGCCAATTGAGAAGGAAGACAAATATCTGTGAGAAGACCAACCATTTAACATGTTTATTTATTTCAGGAAAAATACAGTTCCAGTTTATAGAGGACCTTAATATGTAGTTTTATGATATTTTATTTCATATTAAGGATAAGCCTCTAAATTCATTCATTACAGTCAGGTGGTCCAAATTCCAAATTATTTTTGTTTTTATTAGTTTAGCACACCTGCACTTCCAGCTATGTTTTATTTTTGTATTTTGATACTGGATTACTAATTTTATATATTTCTAGATTAGATGAATTGTTGCCAAGGTGAGGCTTATACGTTGATCACACTGGAGAGATGTGATAGTGTAACTGTCTGTTGGTTTACAACAGTAAATATTTTTGTTTTTGTCTTTTTTTCATTTGGTTACCAACACAAATAGCCTCAAGCCGATTTTTGATTTTAATCTTTGAAAGGCAACAGACCATTGTCAGTTTTCTTTTAGATTGCACGCTGCCAAACTTTGTATACAGTTCAATGACTGAAGGTAATGGTAGCATTCAATCTACTTTTTTCTCTCTCCATCTTCTTTGATTTTGTTGTTTTCTTATGCTTTTTATTGTATTTCACACTCTAAAGGGAATATAGGGAAAACAGATAATTGCATATATTTTACATTTCCTTGAGTCAAGGTTGGGTGAACAATAGAATGATAATGGTTATTCTTTGTTTGTTTTTGTTTTAATTTATACTCTCAAGGTGGGGTATAGCGTATAGACAAATTAGACCAGTTTGTATATTTTATATTGTTTTTGAGTCAAGGTGGGGTGAGTGACAATATATGATTTAGCATTTTCTATTTGCTCTATTTGGTTTTCCACAAGGGGTTAAATATTTATGGTTTTAGTAAGGTTATAGTAAATTATTTTATACTGTTATGAGGATGTATCCCTTAGTACACATTAATACTGGTTGCATTTTGCTCACATTTGTGTTTACAATGTTTTAGATGACCACTTGTGAATCCAGACGGTAATACTGAGACAAGGATGATAATCAAACCACTAGTGATTTGCATAATGTAACACTGCGCACTTTCTGTGCTAAGAATCTTTTAATTTCCGGAAGCCAAGGGCCTATCGAAAACTTATTAAACATCCTCAAGGGCTCAAACACAAACCCACTCCACCTATACAAACGTGCACAAACACCTTCACTCAGATCCCCACTCCAAACAATAAACTATGTTTCTCCCTTGTGTGGTCTCTTTAATACACTATGTAAGTGAACAGCAAAGTAACTGCTGTTGGTGTGAAAATACACCAGGTGTCATGGTGGGCAGAGGTCAGAGGCCTAATAGCCCAAAGTAAGCAAGGCCAGGGTTAAAGGAACAGTGTGGTGGAAGCAGTGCTGGTGGCACAGGTAATTGAGCGTGATGGGAGTGAAATCTAATGGTTGCAGTGATGCTGAGAATATGAGGGTAATGAAAGGTTACGGATATGGCTGAAGGAGTTCAAATTAATGGTGAAAAATGATAACTGTAAGTGCCTCAATGATTTGGCTAAATTATGCCTTGCAGTACCCTAAATTATAAATATATGTGGTTGTCAAGTCATTTGTATCTCAGTAAAACACATAATCATTTAAAACACACATAATACAAATACTGTATTTCTTTGAGAGGGCTCATTTTCTTGTTGAGTCATTCGCCCTCTAGGTGGGGACTGTAAGAAATTGATATTCCAGACTGCAATATTATATATAACTTTCTGTGTATGTGACTGGTTTCACAAGTTGGGGTCATTTACTTGATAACAGTGTGATAAGGATCAAAGCTTTCAGTTGCATTTTACAACACCCAGCTAAAACAAAAGCTTACATCCCTCCAGTATTCCTTGCATGTTATCAGGAGATCAGAGTAATAGACATCTAGGTGAAACCATGGAAGTGTGTGTTTTCCTAAGCAGTCCAATCTACCAAGAAACCTAATCAATTGGTCTTTCAGAACGTTACAGTATAGCTGGAGGGAAGAGATCAAAGGGAAAGACTTGTGTAAAGACAGAACTCTCTGGAGAAAGAGGGTGGGATAAACCACTTTTGGGAGGGAAAAGGGATTCTGGGACTTGTAGTTTATTACTCCAAGAATCAGTCTTTAAAAGGACAACAACCAAGGAAGGCTCTCTCTCTTTCTCTCTCTCTTTGGAGAGGACAACGCAGCAAGCAGGGCCATGGTGAACTAAGAGAGGCTGTCCCAGATTACCCAAGATGAAGGCGCAAGGGGAAGACCTGCATTTAAGTGTTTAAGTATTGCTTTTTATTATGTAGCTTTTGATTATGTACCGGATATAATGTATAATGTATATTGTGTATATCCTTTTAAAATCTAACAGTATCCTTAAATGAATATTTACAATACATTTTATTATACACTTGTGTTTATGTCTTATTTGTCACACATTCCCTAAAAGAATATCCTTGTAAGAGGGTCATAATTTCTTACACTTGGTTCAGTAAGCCCCATTTACTGAACCCAGTGGGAAATAGCCAGGCACAAAGGGATTTTAACCAGGTCTGGGGACACACTGGACACCGTCTTAAAGGGGGAGTGTCCCAAACAAGTCTGGGGACACCGTCTTAAAGGGGCAGTGTCCCAATCTTCATGATGTCCCAAAAAGGTGTTTAAAGGGCCAGCACCAGTCCCATAAAGAGTCCATAAGCCCCAATATGCCCACTGGCTGTCTTAAAGCCAAAAAGGTGTTTAAAGGGCCAGCACCAGTCCCATAAAGAGTCCATAAGCCCCAATATGCCCACTGGCTGTCACTGGCACACTCAATAAAAGTGCATAAGTTCTCACAATCTCCCAGGGGCCATAGTCATGTGGAAGGAGGCTGGCAAATAGGCTTCTCCACAACCCAGGGAAGCAGGGCAATTTGCCATTTAAAGGGCCAGTTACAAATAGCAGTTTGTAACAGTTTCTATCATATCCCCCCTGTCTCGTCTTTCCTCCAAGCTATACATGTTAAGATCCTTTAACCTTTCCTGGTAAGTTTTATCCCGCAATCCATGAACCAGTTTAGTAGCCCTTCTCTGAACCCTCTCTAAGGTATCAATATCCTTCTGAAGATACGGTCTCCAGTACTCTGTACAATACTCCAAGTGAGGTCTCACCAGTGTTCTGTACAATGGCATGAGCACTTCCCTCTTTCTACTGCTAATACCTCTCCCTATACAACCAAGCATTCTGCTAGCATTTCCTGCTGCTCTATTACATTGTCTGCCTACCTTTAAGTCATCAGAAATAATCACCCCTAAATCCCTTTCCTCAGATGTTGAGGTTAGGACTCTATCAAATATTCTGTACTCTGCCCTTGGGTTTTTACGTCCAAGATGCATTATGTAGCGGATGGCACTGTGGCTGTTCTTAAAAGACTATGAGATTCCTGCAATTCGTGTGTTAATTCTGTTTTGTAATTCCCTGTAACTAGCATTTGTATGTTTGTTCGGTAGTTTCCGTATGTATTTCATACGAATGGAAACTACCGAACTAATAGACGTCCCCAGAGTGAAGTGTGTTCCCAATTAAGTGTCGAACATGTGTTAACCACAGACTAATAGGTGGTTTATTGCTGTATCTGGGTGGCCGCCATTCGACATACGAACACCTTACGCACGAAAGACTCAGCAGTGTTTGGTTGTCGAGTGTCTGGAACTCAAATCGGACACTCGATTACCCGAACACCGCTGACACCTCCAGAGCTCCATAACTCCTGAACGGGAAGACGAATCAGCCCCCGTTCGGTGAGTTTGGAGTACTGAACAAGGGCATTTAGGCGAATGACAGTTTATTCATGGATGGCATGTATTTCAATGTATCTTACCTCCCAAAACGCATGGAACCAATTTCAGATACCACCTCGTGTGCGGTCGGTCAGATTTCACCCTCCTCCTAACTCCCGAACCCCTGGTCCGATCTGGGTGAATTTTGGATATGTTAGTCACCAAGATCAGGGCTACCAGAGGGTACCTGTATGGGTGTACCTGCTAATCTTGGGGTACATCCAGAACTTGGGGAAAACTGTATCCTGTATAAGGGGATTAGGTGTCATACTAAGGGGAGGAGAGGTGTGGGAGGTAACTGCTATTTCATTGGGTACTGTATTAATGAATGTGAATCTCTCCCTTGCATGGGATAAATGCTTAAAAGAAGGTTGTGTGGAATAAACATCAGTTCTGCTCCTGATGCTGTGTGTCATCCAGTCATTGGGATCTGTATGGGGATATTCGTGGATTGCTTTGCTTATTGGAATTATTGCTTCCTGGGATTTTTCATCACTTGTTCCTGAGCCTCACTAGGATCTTAGTGGAGTTAACCTGTGAAATATCAGGTCTCCGCTACACATTATCTTGCACTTATCCACATTAAATGTCAGTTGCCACAATTCTGACCATTTTTCTAGTTTACCTAAATCATTTTCCATTTGGCTTATCCCTCCTGGAATATGAACCCTGTTACATATCTTAGTACCATCAAGACCTTCTGCAATATCACTAATAAAAATATTAAAGAGAATGAGTCCAAGTACAGATCCCTGAGGTACCCCACTGGTGACAAGTCCAAGCTTCGAATATATTCCATTAACTACAACCCTCTGTTGCCTGTCACTCAGCCACTGCCTTACCCATTCAACAATATTTGAATCCAAACTTAAAGATTGCAGTTTATTGATAAGCCTTCTATGTGCAACAGTGTCAAAAGCCTTACTGAAATCTAGGTAAGCAATGTCTACTGCACCACCCTGATCTATAATTTTAGTTACCCAATCAAAAAAATCAATAAGATTAGTTTGGCATGATCTCCCTGAAGTAAACCCATGTTGTCTCTGATCTTGAAATCCATGTGTTTTTAGATGTACAACAATCCTATCCTTTAACATGGTTTCCATCACTTTCCCCACTACTGAAGTAAGGCTTACTGGCCTATAGTTGCCCGACTCCTCCCTAATACCTTTCTTGTAATTGAGCACAACATTCGCTAACTTCAAATCTTCTGGGACTACTCCTGTTAACAATGATTGGTTAAATAAATCTGTTAATGGTTTTGCTAGTATACCACTAAGCTCTTTTAATAGCTTTGGGTGTATTCCATCAGGTCCCACTGACTTATTTGTCTTTACTTTTGACAGTTGAAATAGAACCTCTTCCTCTGTAAACTCACGTGTAATAAATGACTCATTTATCCTTTTTCTCAACTGAGGTCCCTTTCCTTCATTTTCATCTGTAAATACAGAACAAAAATATTCATTGAGGCAGTCAGCTAGACCTTTATCCTCTTCTACATACCTTCCTTCTTTTGTTTTTAATCTAACTAATCCTTGTTTTACTTTTCTTTTCTCATTTATGTATCTAAAAAAGGTTTTGTCCCCCTTTTTTACTGACTGTGCTATTTTCTCTTCTGTGTGTGATTTGGAAGTTCTTATCACTTGCTTAGCCTCTTTCTGCCTAATCTTATAGATCATTTTGTCTTTTCCCTCACTCTGTTTTTTTTTTATAATTACTAAATGCTAACTTTTTGTTTTTAACTATTATGGCCACATCTGCGGAGTACCACAGTGGTTTCTTGAATTTTTTGCTTTTACTGACAAGCCTAATGCAATTTTCTGTTGCCTTCAATAGTGCAACTTTTAAATAATCCCATTTCTCTTGGACTCCATTTAAATTGCTCCAGTCTGATAATGACTCCTCTACCCATATTCTAATTTTAGAAAAGTCTGTTTTTCTAAAGTCTAAAACTTTTGTTTTTGTGTGGTGTGACTCAGTCACTGTTCTTATATTAAACCACACTGACTGATGATCACTGGATCCTAAACTTTCACCTACAGTAATATCTGATACCAAATCTCCATTTGTTAACACTTAATCTAGTATGGCCTCTTTACGAGTTGGCTCCTCAACAACTTGTTTTAGAGACAATCCCAGTAGGGAGTTTAGAATATGTGTGCTCCTGGCACAAGTAGCTAATTTTGTTTTCCAATTTACATCAGGAAGATTAAAGTCACTCATGATAATAACTTCCCCCTTCATTGTCATTTTAGCTATTTCCTCAACTAGTAGATTATCTAACTCTTCAATTTGTCCTGGGGGCCTATAAATCACACCTACACGAGTTACTGTGTGATTACCAAATTCTAACGTAGCCCAAACGGACTCTATGTTCGCCTCACTAACTTTTATTAGGCTAGATTTTATGCTATCCTTCACATACAGGGCCACCCCTCCCCCTTTCTTGCCTTCCCTATCTTTTCTATATAAAGAGTACCCTGGTATTGCTATGTCCCAGTCATTTTTCTCATTATACCATGTCTCAGTAACAGCGACTAAATCTACACTATCAGTTGCCATTATTGCCACAAGTTCATGGATCTTATTCCCTAAACTGCGAGCATTTGTAGACATGACTCTAAGCTTATTTTTTAACACACTTGCTACATGCACCTTCTGTCCTTGTTTTGGGGACAATTGAATTGATGTTTTATCACCCTTTTGCCCCCCCCCCCTCCTAGTTTAAAT